CCCCAAGACCCTAAACTACACCGAATGACATATGGCACACGAATCATCTGTATTTGATGACAAGTAGACAAATATAAATAGAACGGGATACAGGGATTGTCAATTGTTTTGTTCGAACACGTTTCAGGTGGATGAAATTTTATATACTGAAAATGGGTAACTCACTCCGATACAACTCCTTTCTCGGAGTGAATCCGAGCGGAGGGAGACTTCGTCATATTCGTCAAGATTGGGTACGGTCGTGACACTTTTTAAATTAGCAATAATTTTGTTAATTTGCCAGTTAGCTGGAAGGAAAGTAAATCAAATTGTAATACTGTCCTTAAATACGATGGGTTAGGTTAGTCATAAAATCAAACAAGAAAAGGGCGAATGTCACAACCGTCCCTGGGGGTGTGGACATTCTCCCCCTACTATATACATTGGACAGATCGCTAAATTTATACAATATTGGACAGCAATTATAGCATGTTGTTGTTCTATTGCTATTTGGTTCAGTATGCATCTCAAATGATTTATCTCTTGAGTATAAAAATGACAGGGTAGCTGAGCACCCATTGAGGATCACTACTTTCTTAAAGAACATCTACTAGTTATTTCTTCTTAAATCTTGAGAGTTACACATCGATTGATATATGTACTTCTTTTGGTAACTACTTCTTAAACTGTTTTCAGATTGATATCATTACGTAGGATTTGATTTAACACATACTATGGTCCTCTTGTGATAAGTCTTAATTTGAGCAAATTATTTCATCTAACTATAAGCAAATAAATGCGAAACAAGTTGTAGAAATAACATAAAAATGACCTGTTTTGCTTGCAATTTTGTATTCGAAGGGTGTTCCTAAAAAGGTTTAATTATATACCAAGTAAATATTAAAAGTTGCGTTTCATAAATTTAACAGACTTTCTGAACTTGCCAACATATCTGTGAGTATATATTTTCCATAATGCTTCTCATATAAGAAAACATGATAAAAGTATTCTTATGATCCAACTGAAATAAATGCTTACTTTAAAATAAAATCTATTTTTAGTCATATATTGTTATTAGCATTTATTGTGTGTTTGTGGTGAATATTTTACAAAACTAAGTATTTTTCATTTCATGTAATTATAAGTTCTCATATTAATCTCAATAATTACTACTATAGTATAACGCAGATCTGACAAATATCTCGACTAAGATAAACTTAGAATATAGATAAACTATATTGTTGTAGCGTCGCAACTGCTGGATGGAGAGCAACTGAGTCAGGTTTCAATAATAAACGCGATTTGATGATTTGTCCCTACAATCGAATTTGCATTAACCTTGAAACACTGGTTTCGCATTTGCAAAAATGATGTCCCGTATGGATGGATTACAGCCATAATATTCGGGTAGAGCATTTTCTCAAGTGCAGGGTGTTTGGGACTTCAACTTAAATTCGTTTGTAGGAACAAATCATCTAATGGTGACATTAAGATCGAAACCTGGGTCTCCGATTCCCTCCGTCCAGCGCATCCTCTCTGCTGATTTGGACTTGATTGGTGGTTTATTAATGACGATGTAGCTATGGCAGCTATTGACCATTTTGGGCTTGACTACAATTGGTCTTGACTTGGTAGTTTATTATGAAGGATGTAACAACTTGCTGTGGCAGCTGGACAACTGTTGTTGACCGTTTTGGGCATCTCTGCGATTGGACTGGATTTGGGCAAACTTCCATTTCGCAATTGAAGAAGTGTCCAGTCCTTGTAGCTGTAAATAAATGTGTGACTGTTAAAAAATCCAACAATATAGTCTTGAATCTAATTGATTTGATATGCTGCATCTTCAGAACTTTAAACTTCAGAAACATCGGAAATGTCATCTATCAATGCTTTATTTTATTAGGGCAAAAGTTCTCAGACAATGATGCCACTATAATAATACTAGTTTGTTCAAAGTATCTAGTTAATTTGCTTACATTTTTTGTAAAATAGAGACAATAGCCAAGTTGAACCACAATTGTGTAAACTTTTGTATATGAGCAAAGCTACTCAGATGATCATGTAGATTTTTTCAAATAAATTATCTACCACAATAATAAATATAAATAATGAATAATGAATACTTACTTAATGTGAAATTTTATGAGTTCCACTTGACAAATGTCACCACACCATTTGACATATCAACTTTTAGTATCAGAAAAATCCAATAATTTCTTCAAATTTATATGAATACTATAAATTTTATAAAAACAATCTAGAAGAAGTTGGTTTTGAAATTTATTCAAAATAGAACAATTAAGTACGCGAAAAAATAAGTTTTCAAGTAAAAATTTTTAATGCTTACAAAAAATATTTTTTTAAGTCGAGTTCTTTTTTGTTTTGTGATTACTTGATGTCTACAAATATGTTTATATATTTGTTTTACTCGATTGCCTTCTAGATTTCAAGCATTCTCTATACTCCATACTAGTGATAACTAAAGGATAGTTATAGAAATAATAATAATAAATATAACTAATGGTGCATGGCAACGTGCTTTAACGTAAATTGCTGGAAATTCCCGTACCGTATTGAAATAATCAAAGAATTTTAAATATTTTCAAATATATTATTATTAATACTATGACTTCCATCAATCGTATTTTATATACAAAATATAAGAGTTTAGAAATCAGACTATTACGTTTCTATATGTTTACATAAAAAATAAACAAAACTTAATCAAGCGGAGTTAGGATTAAATTAAATTAAATTATTTCATATTTCTAAAAATTATATAAATTTTGTTAAAGAAAATAAGTGCACTTAAGAATTTTAGCTAAAATTAAAATTAAAATTCGAGTCATTTTGGATATTAAATAAAAAAAATTAGATCATATAAAAAAATAATAACTAAGTTTTTAAATCTAATCAAAAACATTTGTTCTCTAAAAAGTGTATGCCAAAATGTTTAAAAACATCTCAAACGTAAAATTATGCATAATGAAAAATCAATTGTAAATCACATTGATTAATTTTTAATCAATTATTAAATAAAAATTTGTTTTCGAAATAAACAGTTAAATTTTATCTAAATAATTAAAGGGCCAATTTTCAAATAGAATTTTATCTAAATAACTAAAAGGCCAATTTTTAAAAATGTTATGGTAACGCTATTTATGGGTCTAATTTCGTATTAATTGGTAGTAATGGGCCAAAAGCTATGTATTTGCTGTGCAATTAGGCGTTTTACCCATAAAACCTAACTTCACGTATGTGTTACCAGGAGACATCAGAAAGATGCACTTATGATAAAATTGTTATTTGACAAAATAACAAATAAATTAAAATAAAATAAAATAAAATAAAAATATTTCACGAATGAGTGTTTTGCAGGTTATAATTTATGTATGAAACGCCTGATCCCACAGTAAACCGATCGACGCAGTCAACTTCCCTTATAACAAAATGCCACTTACGCCTAGTTATGTAAATAACTAAAGCACCACTTACACCTATTTAGAAAAGAAAAAAACTTCACCCAATAAGCTTGTCAAAAAAATTAGTATTAGGCACAAAATAATTAATAATGAAAAGTATCAAATCCTATTCATATAGAAAATCCTGTTGCACCTCCTCAGGAATTTTTTCTCCATCAATATCCTCCTCCTGAGCTATATTCTAGTTAAAGGCTGATCCTGGATTTTCGTTCTGGCGCGATGAACAGGAGCTCCCGAGGAAATAATTCGGGAAATAAACATCCGCAATGAAATCAGTGCAAATGACAACCGGATGCTTCGGATAACATGATCATACAACCCAACTAGGAGATCCTAACCAGAATTAAGGGAGGAAGGGCGAATTGCCTTATTTGTATATCAAAGATTCTACATTAGAATATGTATTTTGATTTGCTGATTTATTGCATTTTTTCCTTACTT